AAGTTGTTAAGCAAAAGTTGCACCACTCCCTCCAGTTTGGGATCACACACTAACCACCAATGCACCCACCCCTCCCCCTGAGCACCCACCTTCCCCAGTCTCCCCATCCCAATGCACACACCCCTGCCTCAGAGCATCCCGCCCCGAGCATCCCGCCATCCCAGTGCACTCCCCCTCCCCCTGAAGCAGGCATCCCCAGCCTTGGGAAGCCCCCACTCCAATCAAATCTCTCCCCTCCTGCCCCCTGCAGATCCAGGCACAGAGGAATAATCTGACTTTTAAAGTGTCTGCTCCTCCCACCTGGCCTGGCTGCCTCATCTCGCATTGTAGAGAGGGAGCCATTGCGTGGCCAGTTCCCGATCTCTGCTGGTCACGTGGGCCAGAGCAGCATGCACGCCGCTCCCACCCCAACCCAGTCCCCCCTAGCGAGGCGCCCGGCAATTATCCCCTCCTACTCCCCCTTCGTTTGGCGCACTCCTCACTCCCCCACCCCTGCCAGACGAAAATTGTCCCCACTGGGCTTCTGTCCCACGGAAACAGGAAATACCAGACATTGCACGTGTCTGGTATTTCCTATGTTTTTACCAGATGGAGCCCACAAATACTGGACTGTCTGGGTGAAAACCGGACGCCTTGCAACCCGATTTGAAAATGTAGGTAACAATCCAAAATTTAATAAATTTAAATTGGTATTCTATTGTTTAACATTGTGATTAATCATAATTTGTTCTGAGTTAATTGCATAAATTTTGATCCAAATGTATTAAGGCACTAGTGGATTTTGCAGTATAGTGATGTAAAGCATTCGGATTTTTAGAAGTAGGACATCGGGGTAGGGAACCTCAGGCCAGATGCATCCAGGCTTGCCTGTATCCAGACCCCAAAGCTTAGGGCTCTCCCCCAGTGTTGAGGAGCCTGTGATAGTGCTCCAGCCCTCCTCCTCTCCCTCCCCCTCCCCAGTGGGGCTGGATCATACAAAATTTACTAGCTTGACATGCCCTTCCGTCCCCTACCCCCCAGGCTCTGCCTTGTGAGCAGAATGTGGAGTGTCTGTCACCTTCTCAGGCTGGGGCCACATCAGTGAAGGCTTGTTTTTGCTTTTCACTTGTGTATAGCCCATGACTGAATTTTTATTTTTTCCTCTGTGGGTCAGAAGCACCCAACCCTAAAAAGGTTCATCAGTTCTGCTTTAAATGTATGGTACTCATGATCATTCTTCAATTTTGAAGGTAGCCTGGGAAACAAGGAGCAGATTACAGCTGGTCCCAGAGTTGTGAATGGTCGAGTTACGACCGTTTGCATTTACGACCAAAGCTCCCATGGAGTGGTTGTAAAGGCGGTCCAAGAGTTATGAATGCAACCCGTGCTTACGAACAGTGCGGTCGTTATGTAACTCAATGGTGTCTGAGTTACTAACAAATCGAATTGCGACCAAGTATTTGGTGCATAATTCGTTCTTAACTTGGGGAGAGGCTGTAACAGGCACTGAGTTAACACTGAGAAACTGCAGGAATAGTTCTTTTCTGTAAGATTTTTGCCCTGTTTGTGTTTGTGCTTCTGACCAATGAAAGTTTAAACAGATTACCAACAATTACCTATTTTTAAATGTTTTGTTATGATTTAATATATTAACATCTATTCAGAAATTCTACTTTTAATGTTATGAAACTCAAACTTGAGGGCATTACAGGGTACAACATTTATTTTCATAATGCCAATACACTTAAATCTTTTTTTAGAGTGTTATGAGGGCTAATTCTAATTTGTGTATTTCTTTTGTATTAAGTTTTGGTTAAGGTAGCTATGGTCAGCTTTCTCCACTTCACACTAAATTTAAACATACGTGTAAGTTGCATGCAATTTTTTATGCTGCATGGTGCTTTGAAGAGACAAACCCAGCTCATTTCTAATGAAGCAAATGATCTAGTGTCAGAATAGCTTGTCAAGGGGAAACTGTGTACAATCAATATTTTAAAACCTAGAATACTCCAGCAGAATTACATTGCATAGTACTTTATTCTTAAAGACATTAAAAGCACATCAGATTGATTTTATTAGTTTGGTCAAAATACAGGCAGTCCCTGGGTTACGTACAAGATAGGGACTGTAGGTTTGTTCTTAAGTTGCAATTGTATGCAAGTCGGAACTGGTACATATTGTAGGGGAAACTCTAGCCAAACATTTCTCCAGAGCTCAGTTTTATTCTCCCACGCCTCACTTCCCTCAGTCCTTTATTCTCAAGCTGAGGTGTCTGCTGAGAAAAGCTGCTCCGCGTCTCCCTGGTCTGCTGAGGGGGAAGCAGCTAGTGTGGGGTTGCCTCACCCTGTTTGTAAGTAGGGATCCGATGTAAGTCAGATCCATGTAACCCGGGGACTGCCTGTATTAAGGTAAATATGCTGATTGTTTGGGGTTTTTTTTTGAAGATGTATATTGCATCCAGTAAGAGTGTAAGCTATAAGGACCAACTTTTGCCTTCACTGAAGTAGATTTAAGAGTAGTGATCAATAAAATTCTTTCATATCTTAATATTAAACCTAGGCCTTAACATTGAAGGTGTCAGTAAAATGTGTCTTGACACCATGGCACCCATGCTGGCTCATCTCATCTTTCCAGTTCACTGTCCTTGAGTGGGAAAAACAAGGCACTGAACAGCCTTATCTTTTTCTAGCTTCATGTTTGAGAAGAGTTTTCTTAAACTAAATTTGGTCATTCTCAGTCTGTGAATCCAAGATGAAGGCTATTTTCAATGTCACCAACCTCTAGACCTCCAACCTGGCTTCTTGACAATACTACCAGAGACCCAAGTAAAATCCAAGAGTTTGTGGTCTAAATTTGGAAAAGGGAGTAGTAGTTTCTGGTGACCAGTTTGATGCCTTTAGAGGAACCTGATGTATAAGAAATGCTTAATTCCCATCATGTACCTGGATAATAATGTAGAAGAAAAATTGCCTGAGATTTTTCAAGAAGTACTCATACATAGGGCTTACTTCAGCAGTGTCGTAGAGAAAAGCCTGTCTCTTCATGCCCAGAAGTCATTGGTAGTCTGCTTGGAATTAGGCTCTAGACTTGCTTTTACATATGGCCCTTCAGCTCCACCATAACTACTAAACCCCATTGTTTTAAGACTATTCAAATTAACTGGCTAATCGAATAGTCGATGCAGTTTGCATTGACTATTTGATTAGTCGATAAGCCTCCGCCTTTGAAGAGTAGCAACAGAGCTGTTGCTATGCTTAAAAGGCGAAAGTGCTGTGGGGAGTATAGGACCAGCAGGGGTCTCTCTTAGTGGGGGAGTCCCCAGCTGACCCTGGGCTCTGCGGTGCTGCTGCTTTGAAATGCCCCCATTCCACTTTTGTTGCCTCCTTCTGCTAGAGGAAGAAAGGAGTGTGTGTGGCGGAGACGGGGTGGGAGGAACTAGAACTAGTCGACTATCTGATAAACGTTTGCTTATTGGATGGAGGATTAGTCAACTAGTTGTTCACATCCCAAATTAAAAATTTCCTTCAGCTTTTGATGAAGGAAATGGTCTAGTGATTGTGGGCTGTACCTTGTTGGGAGTGGGGAGGAGGGAACAATGTAGATAAATCTATGCAACATTGTGCAAATAAACTGCAAGTTAATTTAAAGTAAGTTGATTAAGATGACCATCCAAAACACTCTTCACTAAGCAAGCTGTCAGTTTTCCAGACACAGCATTTTCTTGGGCTGAGATGAATTTCTATTTCACTTGTAAATCCAATTAGCATTACATTTCTTAGAATGAATATGAGTAGTATGAAGGGTTTAGCTTAAATGGCCTATCTTAAATTTTGTCACTTTATATTCAGATGTGCTAATATTTACTCTAATCAGAGTGCTGCTCATTACTTCATTTTTGAGAACATTTAGAATTTTGTGCACAGGAATTGCACGTTGCCTCCTTACAGTCTTCTCTTCTCTCCTTCACTAAATGTATAGCATGCAATCTGAGTGAAGACAACTTTCAGAGAACTTTATTTCACAAACTTAATATTGTTTCACGTACTTTGTAAACGAATGAACTCTGCTATTTAATCTTCCCCTTGTCATCTTATATATATTGTGCTCTTCTCTGTTCATTCCTACTCAGTCGTTATCACGACTGAAAGCGTTCGGGTGGATGGGTCTCAGCTGGTCACAACTTTGAAGTATAAGGCATGCTGCAGCGGTAAGGGTGTGTCATTAGAACATCTTCCTGACAATTAGAGGAAAGCTCAACTTTTCCTACGGATGCCGGGAATCTGGTAATTAGCGATTGCTCCCCTCTCTGAGATGAATGGCACATCTCTTCCTTGTCTTCCTAACTGTGTGAAAAGTGAGCCAGCAACTAATTTTAATTTTTTGGCTATTGGTGGAATTTTCCTTCACCCTTTACTCCTCCCCCTTTGTTGGAAGTGCTCAGTCTCAGTGATAGAATTTATTTTGTGGTTTCAAGTGTTGAGGCATGAAAGGGTCCTCCTGGCTATTGAAATACTTTGTTCTACAGCTTTCTTCCCTAATAATGCCTGACAGCTTATTGGCAATAATATTAATTGATGGTTGGAGTCCAACTTATTTGTACATGAAACATAGATTCAATAATTATTGATGGCTTATTGTGTAGAAAAAAATCATGACATATCTCTAAAGATCACATGACTGACAACATATATAGGAATAATAGCAGAGATAATTTGATCACATAATTGCATGTCATTTGAAAAATTGCATTACCAGTTATGCCTTACTGTTGAAACTTGACAGGTTCATCTTAATGGTTGATGCATAGTAAATGTTTTATCTGACCAGCAAAGAAATAGACTCACTGCAATCATGCCCCACTTGCCCTAGAGAGAGAGAGAGACTCACAATGACACCTTTTTTTAGTTGATGAGAAGAAATGGTGATCTAAGATTTTGATGATTCTACCAGTTAACTTTTAGCTTTTGCTGTGTAACAATTAAGTCAAAACAACTTAATCCTTCTGCTTTTTTTCCCCTCAGCTTTGTATTCCATCATACTGTTCTCTGTGTTTCTGTGGATCCCTTTTGTTTATTTCTATTATGAGGAGAAGGATGAGGATGATACCAACACATGCTCAGTAAGTTCAGTTATGCTACACCTAACTTTGTCTCTTCTTAAGGTATGAATTCAGTAGTCAAATAAGAATGAAATTTAACAGCTGCCCTATTTCAACTGTTCAAAGCAACATTGTTGAACCATTATGTGATCTTAATTTTAAACAAAAACCTACATTGATGTTCTAACATTCGAGTCTAATTTGAATAAACTGATGTTTACTTTTGTTATAAAGAAACTCAACAGACTGCTTTAGAGTAAGTTTACTTTCAGAGATATGAGTTGCAATATGAATACTTAGCTTAATATTAAGCTATTCATGACATGCCCTCTTTAATGCTCCATTGTAGGAGTCAGTTTTTAGCAGAATCTGGCAGAAGGAGTAGTTCTCTTGATTCCCAACACTCCCTTTACTCAGAGTGTAAATACTATTGTGATGGGGCGTAGTAGCAGAAATCCCCTTGGGATTATTCCCCAGTGTGTTGTTGATGCCACGGACTCCTGTCTTGTTGCTCTCTGCTCTCCACCACCCTCTTCTGATGGCCAGATCCTCTGGTCTTCCTCTTCTTGCTCCTTCCTGACAAGGCACAGAGTTGGAGTAAATGCCCTCTGCAGAGCAATGCAGCACTGAACCACTTCAGCTCTGAAAGGGTGCAATTCAGAGTCCCAGCACCCAGGAAACCAACCTCCAAAAGGGATTAGAATGCCTAAATCAGTCTGTCTGTGTGTAAAACTGTTATACCACAACTGAAAGCTCAAAGTCAGCACTTTTTATCAGTGAAAGGTATGCACAGTAGTTGCTCCCCCCCCCCGGTAACTATTTACACTGGGCCTGATAGTAAACAAACATTTTTATTAATTACAAACAGTAGGATTTCAATAGCTGCAAGTGAAAACAGACAGATCAAAGTAAGTCTCTAAATTAAAACGAATAGGGAATGCATAGGTAGTTCTAATTCACTATGAAACTTGTTGCATGCAAATTCTTACCCTAAACAGCTGTTCTTATTTCACATAAAAAGCTTCAAATCAAATTTGATCTTTTACTCTGACTTTGGTCTCCAGCTCTTGAAGGTTCTGTTTAGGGATGATAAATTTTGTTGAATCGACTAGTTGATGGAATTTCCATTGACTAGTTGATGCGCCAATAAGGGGAAAAACTTCAGAGTCACAGTGGGGTTAGCTCTCAGCTCCTAGACTAACCAAACTTTCTCTCCAGGGTGGGAATCCTTTATTTTTACATTTTATGTGCCCCTTCCATGGAAAAATATCAAGTTGAAAATGGATTTCAGTACCAGGTGATACGGTCACACGTCTTTCTAGCACTAACTGCTGCTTGGGATTACAGGATTAACAAGGCTGTTTTCAAGTTGAGTTGATCACTGAGCCATTAGGCTTCAGGAACATCAGTAATGGCTCTCAGTAGCATAACTAAAATTATAAACAACTTCACAGTTCATATTTCTAACTTCACAAACAAGAATGAGACATGCACAAATTAGGATATACAGATCCAGCACATTGTAATATTAATTTTAATAGACTATGTACTTCATGTAGCCTAAAACATCTGAGTTATGCATATTTATATTCACAAGAAAATTTTTCATAAAGCATGGGGGTGGAGAAGCCCATCACAACTGTACCCTATAACAATCTCAGGTTTTTTGGGGGGGAACCCTGCTCTTGACTGGACTCTGAAGTAAAGTACATGAACGCAAAGCCATTGTTATCAGAAAACTAGCAACTACTTCTTAGGAGGAACATTTATCTTTCGTCATGTAACAAGAGTGCCATTAAATGAAAACAAGCAGCAGTGCTGTCCTGAAATTGTAACTTATTCGGTTTACCACGTTAAGAGAATAATTAATTTAATGAAATTGTCAAAATCGAATTCCACATAGTAGCACTACAGAGTTCAGATTAGGGCATGTTACAGATATATGTATGCTTGTATTTGTCACTGTACAAGCAGACTGCAGAAGAAAGTTGTGATTACTCTTAGTATTGTGCCTTTATCTGTTGACTAGCACACCAAAGATGTTCAAGAAAATTAAAAGCCAGAGCAGCTTGCCCAAGCATACATTGTGTGATAGGTATTTCATATACTTTTATTACCTCTTAAAATGAAGCTATCAACTAGTTAGAGCTAAGGCAGCAGTTGGCATAATTCTAGTTTTTTTGTTAAACAGTATCATTTTTATAGAAAGCATGTCCCAATAAATAGCCTATTATGTGCTGTATTGGTTAGCATAGAAATAGGCAGATGTTTTTATTATATTAAATATATTAATACTGTTAATTTTGAATGCAGCAGGTTCAAACTGCACTCAAGTACACTTTGGGATTCCTCATGGTTTGCACAGTTCTTCTTATAATTGGGTAAGTTTGTGTATTGAAATGAAGGTAAAGGAAAAAAATTGTATTAATGAACAACTGAAGAGGTTAAGTGAAAAATAGATAAAAGAAAAATCCCTGTAAGAATTCTTATACCCAGAATCGCTAGAGCAAAACTAGGGTGGGTTATAATATCACACCCACAACTGTTTTTTTCCTGTTTGGTTTTTTAATTCTTCATGTGCAGCTCTAGAGGAGAGACTTATAAATCCCTGTGTCTTGGGTATCTTTAACATTAGAATCCATTTTTATACTTGAGGAAAACTATACAGTGTGTCATATTGCTTGCTTTATTTTGATGCATATACATGAGGCAGAATTAAAGTTATGCGTGCAGCTTTAACTTTGGATTTTTTACTTTTTCATCCTTTACTCTTTATATTTGTATGAAATACACTTATTAGTCTGTTATATCTTAATATAAACTTCAGCCCACATAATGCATATCTTAACTTTCTGATTTCTTTAGTCTGTGAAACTAGTTTGTACATTATTGCTTCCTGATTTAGGGCCTTGTACATAAGTTGGCTGCGGGTTTTTTTATGCTTTCTGAATTGGGTCTAATAGTTCAGTAGGGGTTCATATTTATGTACATATATACTTGACTTTGAAGGATTTTTTAGTTTTAGTTTGGAATATATTAATTACTCAAGGGAATAAGATTTTTTTTCTTCTTTATAAATAGTGTTCTGCAGAAATTTAAGCATTATTTCATGTCCTGCTTCAGATTTAATTAGGTGTATATCCATACTTGATGAGAACATGCCTAGGTATGTGAATTAGCTAGTGTTTAAATTAGGTCTGTCAATCAGTTAACTCATATGATTAACTCAAAAATTAATAGTGATTAATTGTACTGTTAATAGAATATAAAAAATGAAATCAAAGTTTGGATGTTTTTCTAAATTTTGAAATGTTTTTTATTGCAGCAGTATTAATTAAATATTTCAATTACTTGCACTGTAGAATTGATAAACAAAAGACATAGTAGCTTTCAATGTACCTCATTCATAATAAAGCACTACAATATTTGTAAGTTAAGCTTACAAATATAGATTTGGGTACAGAAAATAACCACATTCAAAAATAATGATGTACCACTTTAGAGCTTGCAAGTCTACTCAGTCTTATTTCCTGTTCAGTAAATCGCTCAGACAAAAACTGAGTTATGTGTACAGGAGATAATTCTGCCTGCTTGTTGAAAATGCCACTGAAAGTGAAAACATGTGTTTACATAGCATTTTTGCAGCTGTAGTCGCAAGGTGTTTGTTCCAGTTGTGCTGAAGATTCGCCTGTCTCTTTGTGCTTCAAACACCATTCCAGAGGACATGACTGGTTCTGCTTGATAATGATTCAGAGCAGACCATTGTGTGTATATTTTTACCATCTGATTCAGATGCTACCAGCAGAAGGTTGGTTGGGTGTTGTGTTTTTGTGGTTTGAGTTCTTAGTTTCCACATTGGAGTGTTGCTCTTTTAAGACTTCTTAAATCATACTCCACACCTTGTCCCCCTCCTATTTTGAAAGGCACATCAGATCCTTAAACCTTGGGTAAAGTGCTGTTGCTGTTTTTAGAAGTCTCAGTGGTAGCTTCTTTGTGTTTTGCCACATCTACAGTAAAAGTGTTCTTGAAATGAACATGTGCTGGGTCATCACATGACTGCTGCAACATGAAATATATGGCAAAATGCAGATAAAACAGAGCCAGAGACCTATAGTTCTCTCCTAACTAGTTCAGGCACAAATCTAATTAATGCATTAATTTTAATGAGTCATCAGCATGGAAACATGTTCCCTGCAATGGTGTCAGAAATATAAAGAGGTAATGAATATTTAGCATATATGGCATATAATACCTTGCTGTGCCGGCTTCAAGGTGCCATGCAAATTCTCCATATCCTGGCCACTTTCAGGTGAAATTGTGAACAGGTGGGCAGCATTGTCTCTTAGAAATGCAAACAAAATTGCTTTTCTTAGTTATTGGCTGAACAAGAAGTAGGACTGAGTGGACTTCTATGTGCTAAAGTTTTTACTGGTTTGTTTGAATGCAATTATAACAATCTACATCTGTGAAAATGCAATTTAGAAGAGTGTACTGTAGTACTTTTTATAAAGAACACTGAAATATTTCATTTTTACAGTAGAATTATGTAGTGAGTAATCTACACTTTTCTGTGTAATAGAAACTTGTATTTGAAAATGTGGAACTATACAAGATTAATTGAAATTAAATGTTCTTGAATTGTTTAACAGTGAAACTTTTAAAAACTGAATGTTGCAAGTAATTTGAGTTAATCACATGAGTTAATTGGAATTAACCAGTGGCCCTATTCATGATTGCTCCGTGCCTCTCCCTACTTACTTTATCTGCATGCCTAAATTTTAAAGCATATTCCTAGATGACAGTTAATGATTTGTTGAGGCATCCATACAGAATAATATCTCAGTACTCTATAGTATAAAATATAATTTAAGGCTTTACTGTAATGCTTATAGCCAAAAGTTCATTATTTTATCAGGTGTAAAGTACTAAAAGGGAATTTACAATAGTGAGTAGAATTTGTATAATTTCTACTCAGAGTATTTTACGTTTTCTTTCAGTGTAATTTTTAAAAATCTTACGTATATAGTTTTAACATTAGTCGCTAGTCTCTAAACAAAATGTTTAAGTTGAATTTCAGTAGCTTCTAGAATTAAGTCAAAGACTACAATTCAGTTTTGATCTTCAAACATGAAAGATTTAAACTACTTCTTTATATAAACTTGAAATTAGAACTGATTACAGCAGTGTCAAGTGTACCCTTCAGTTCTCTTCCAAGCTTTGCTTCCCTTGTGCACTTATTACTGCTGTGGGAATTCTGTGCCACTTCACATGTGCAGATTTTATGTTCTCTGCAAATTTATTTGCTTCTCTGTGGAAAAATAACTTCATTGGAGAAATCTCTCTACCCAATCTCTGATCCAGGCACACAGTCCAAGTCAGTGTCTTCACTGCCAAGTTCTCCTCATGCCAAAACTGCAAAGAGGAGTTTATCAGTGCCACATGGAGACCTCAGCCTAAAGAAACTATCTGCCTCATTGGCTCAACATTTGACGCACTGAGCATCTCTGGCACCTCATGTACCATGGCTTTGTCCAGCACCTGCTTTGGCACCAAGCCGAATGGGTCTAAACCGCCTGCTTCAAAGTCTGCACTGGCAACTCTTCCACAAACTTTGGCAATGATGGTCACTGCCCACTCACCAGCTGACTATTATAACAGCACTAATCACACCAGTACCACTGATGGCACCATTGCAACTAGCAACACCAACCACCTTCGCACCAATACCATTTATGTGCCATGCTGACCTAACGGTGACCTTGACATCAACTGCTACTCTTCAGCACTGACCTCTCTGAGCTGTGGCATAGCAATATTTGGCAGTCACATTTTTCCAGTGGTGAGGGTGATGGTGTCCAGGATGTATTTTCACTGCACCGTGCTTCTTGTTAGAAACCCATCTCCACAGCCATAGTTGACTCCTAGAGCATATTATTATAGGGAGATGCCACGATGGTATGAACACACAGGGTTGCCACAAACAATGCCACATTCTGACCATTGGACTTACTGGAGCCCAAGGAGGTGTTATAGGAGACCTCACAGCATGCAATCCAGTCTTCAAATAGGTCAGTTCCTATATGTCCCCTTCCCCTGCCACACTGCTTCTCCTGTTCATCAGCTGGAAGCCACAGAGGAACAGCAGATGGAAGTTCTGAAGGACCTGGTCCTGATGTCTCGTCCAACTAATTCCTTGTCTTTGCCAGAAGAGGCAGTCCTGCCCCCCACCAACACCATCAACGGCTGACTTTTCATATTTTCAGGAATTGTTTAAGGGGGTGGCAACAGAGCTTAAGATCACCATGGCAGGGTTGTCAAAGACTCAACATAAATTAACTGGCATACTACAAGCATCACCCTCCATCAAGATAGTGCTTCCTTTCAGTGCTGCTATTATGGATCCTTCCAATACAGTATGTCAGACCCTAGCCTTCATGCCACCTACATGCCAGAGGTCAGATAGAAAGTACTACATCCTATGTATAGGCTCTGAATTTCTCTTTACTCATTCTACCCCTGATTTCCTTGTGGTCGAAGCAGTGCACCAGCATGCCAAATATTGCTTCCATTCCATCCCACCGGACTAGGACAGCAAAAGGCTAGACCACTTTGGTCGTAAGGTGTATCCATCTTCCAATTCAGCATCTCTAATTACTCAGACCTTACCACCAAATAAGGCTACACAAATGACGCCAACTTCCGGCTGTGGATAGTGGTCCCTGTCCTGGAGTCTTCAAACCTCTGTTTTCATATCCTGTAGTAACATCCCAGTTAGGGACTAGAGATATTAGATCACAGTTAATTGAATCAATTGCATGACTGACTATTCAATAGTCCCCGCGGGCAGAGCCAGCAGCCCGTGTGCTCTGAGCCCTACTCCTGGGGAGTGCACTGCCACCCTGCTCTGCTGCCTCTACACTAGAGGCAGCAGCCCTTGGTGGCAGACAGAAGCTGGTCTGTGAGGGAAGTAAACTTAAATATTGGTTCTTTGCACAGACGGGCTCCAGCCTGCTCTCCCGAGCAGAAAGAAGCTGTGCTGGCATCCCATAGAGCAGCCTCTGTCCACAGTGAGCCTGGGCCCACTGAAGACAGAGGCTGCTTTGCAGCAATGTCCCCTCTTCCCCTGCCCCTCACTGCTGCCTCTAAGAGGCAGTGGGGGAGGGGGTAGTAAGCGGCTCCACTGATTCAGTCTTATGCCAAGCCACCTTAAAGCTGACTCCCCATGGCACTGGGTCCTCCCCTCCCCCTTGCTGCCTTTAATATCCCTACTAGGGATATCCTGTCTTAAATGTATAGACAGGATGAATCCACTGGCTGCTGAGGGCCACCAGTTGTTAATCCAACATCCTATAACCAACATTAGAGCTGTGTCTTTCTCAACAGTGACGGATTAGTCACCATCTGCTTCCCCTAACTCTTGCCAAGGAAGAATGTAAGTTGGACATAACTGGAAGAATATTGATTTGACTTTCTTGGCATAGGGTACCCAATTACATAACTATATAATATCCCACAACCTTTTGGAATGCCATGAGTCATGGAATGCCATGGGCTTCGTTCCAGAGGAGCAAAAGCAAACTGCAAAAAAGAAGAGGATCGAATCTTGACCAAGAGCTGCCTGTGATTCTTGTGGCTCAAGTGGTGATTATGGCTGTGGAGTGAGTCTTTTCCAAGATACTTCTAGTTGTGATTTGATGTCAAGCCAGATAATCCTAAGGCAAGATTGAAGATCTTCCGCTTTGAGTGTATTCGGCAATAAAGCCGGCAAGGTCTGGAATTTTAGTCTGACACAGATCTCCTCCGTATATCCCTCTTCTTCTGGCATTAGAGGGAAACACACTCAGCACTAGTAGTCAGGTCAAACCACAGCTGTGATAGTAGCCCATGATAGTAGCAGTCCCGGCTCGCATCAAGTCCCAGATCTACCCCTGCTGCATCTCTGTAGTTTGAATGTAGTAGAAGCCAGGCATGCAGGCAGCCCATTTCCTACTACATTCAAACTGCAGAGAAGCAGAAGGGGTTGATCTGGGACTTGGTGCAAGCTGGGACCGCTTCATTCTAGCTTGTGCTGGCTCCCACACTGTGCCTCTGCCTTTTAAATCTAGTATGAGTTGTGAGGCTCTGCATATATTTAAAAGGCAGAGCTGTAGCGCCGTTGTCCCTCTGCCTCTCTTGCTGCCTCCCCACGCCCCCCCGAACTGTGGAGATGGTGCTGGGATGAACTGACTTTTAAGTGGGTCCCCCCCAGCACTGGCTACTGCTCCCTTCTCTTTGCTGCCTCTGATATAAAGGTGGGGGCAGGAGGAGGAGAGCGGGAAATGCTAGTAGTCAACTAATTGACTACAGTTTAACATCTCTACCCCAAAGTGGTAAGACTTGTGACAGTCATGGAGCAGTTTTTATAGGGTTGCTTGGTTGCTTTTAGATGGTCTGGCTAATCACTAGGAGTGGGGAAAAAACTGTTAGTTAGGATTTGCTGTACCAGAGGGGTGGGGCTTTGAGAAAAGGAAAATGCTGGGAGAAGGAAAACTGTTCCCTCTGACATTAATTGTATCTCAAATGTGTACATGAAAAGCATTTTGGTGTATATGTAACCCACACACCTATATTTATACACAACACTGAACATCCCTTGCCCCCCCCCCTTCTCCCCC